ATCGAAGGTGAAAAGGGCATGGTCGCATCCACTCCCTCAGATTCGTCCCTAGCTGTTACCGATGAGGAATGGAGAACTGCAGCTCGCGCCCTCCGAACAGCCAGTTGGGGTACCGTCTTCTACTTGATTACCACCGACGTGCTAGGCTGGGCAAACGCACCGTAAGTAATTCTCAACCCGTCGAAACCAATGACCATCTCGCATAACATTAACCGGGTGGTTCTGTGATCTAGGTTCGTCTTTGCAAGTGTGGGATACGGTCCTGCCGTGGCTTTGTTCATTGTTTTTGGTTGCTTCGCCGGCTTCAGTGGCTGGATTCTGTGGAAGGTGTTTCTAGAACTCGACTCAACGCGCTACCCCTTGATCAACTTTGGTGACACCTACTATCGTGTTTTTGGAGCTTGGAGTCGTCATTTGGTCAACATCGGACAGTCGCTGCAGCTGCTGATGTCGGTGTCCGTGCTTGTTCTGGGTAACGGCCAGATCCTGTCGCAGCTGTCCAATGAAAGTATCTGTTTCGTGGCGTGCATGATTATCATGATGGTCATCGGCATGGTCTGTGGAAGCATTCGGTCCTTGCAGCGTCTCGGATGGCTGACCAACGCTGCCGTCTGGTTGAACATTGCGGACTTCATCATGATGTGAGTCGTCCGATTTGTACTCCCAAGGCGGGCATGTGCTAACGGCTAAATAGCATGGTCGCTGCTGGTGGCCACTTTGGTATCGACTATCAGGCCGTCATCTCATCCACCTTGATCCAGGTCGTCGAGCCCGTCAAGGTCTTCGCTGGGCCACCGCCCGACAAGTATCAGATTCAGGCGACAGGGTTCTCGGGACAATTCACTGGTGTCGACCAGATGGTTTGTGAGTGACCTTCGTTACACCCCCATATTTCCCAGTATATCGACTGACCCTGTCATAGACAGCTACGGTGGTGCTATTTTATTTGTTGCCTTCCTGGCTGAAATGCGCCATCCGTGGGACTTCTGGAAGGGATTGTTGTGCGCCCAGATGTTCATTTGTTTTGTCTACATCTTCTTCGGTGCCTTTGTAAGATCCTATATATGGAGTCTGTTGACAATACGTATCTGACTAACAGTATTACAGGTCTACAGCTTCTACGGCCAATACTCCATCTCCAACCTTTACAACGTGGTTGAGCCGAAAGGTCTACAAATGGCAGTAAATATAGTCTACTTTTTAACATCCATTATTGCCTGCAGTAAGTTCTAGTCTCCTTTCTCGTTGACTTTCATGTGCCTCGCTAACCAGGTCAGTTCTCTACTTCAATATCGGCATGAAGTCCATCTACCAACAGGTCTTTATGGAGCTTCTCAACTTCCCAGATATCTCCACCACCCGCGGCCGCATGCTCTGGTACGGTCTCGGCCCGATCTACTGGGTGATTGCGTTCGTCATCGCCGCTGCCGTGCCAAACTTTAGTGGAATTTCCAGCATGGTCGGCGCGGCCCTGATCCTCAACTTCACCTACACGCTCCCGGGTATTCTATACGTTGGTTTCCGATGCCAGAAGGATGCTGCGCTACCCGGAGAGGGGTATGATCCTGCGACCGGGGAGACGGTGCGCCATGATTCCGGCATGCAGCGGTATATCCGTGGGTTCAAGAAGCACTGGGTGCTGAATCTTTTCTGTATCTTCTACTTCTGTGGTGGATTGGCGTGTTCTGGTATGGGCATGTGGGCTGCCATTGAGAGTTTGATTGAGGTGTTTGGGCCCGGGGGTACGGTGGCTACGTCTTTTGGGTGTGCTGCACCTGTTTAGAGGGGAGATTAAAGGAGAGTGCACTGTGGAGTAGATGGGCACTCTTGATGAAACTGTCTATAATATTATTGTTAGTAGATGGTGATGATGGTATATATGCTCTCATCTCTGTATATGTCTGTGATGGTGTCATTATCATGTATGGTACGACATGGATGTGATTTTAATGTTAATGCTATGATCTTCTATCATTATTTCTAAATCCACTTATATCCTGTGTCTACGTTATCAACCGTTCTCCACTCATTTCCCCTCTTATTTGCCACTACCGGCTTCTTGCCATTCCACTTGCTGAATCGCCCTAGCCCGCGCTTGAGCAGAGCCAGCACTGACATCATTGCTCTGTACAGAGGCCTGCCCCCAGTCATCCTCGAACCGAATATCCGCCACAGTCTTAGCCGCATCATCCACCTCAACCAGCTGGCATAGTGCCTGCTCAAAATCCCGCAGAATTCTGTCCATGCGCGCGACGGGGACAAGACCCGAATCGAACTTAGTATCAGCATTGACATGCCCCCCGGGCGTCGTGGTGACCGCAAACCGGAACGGCACGTGAGTCGTCTTTCCAGACCAGACCTGCTTCAAACCGAGCTCCTCCCCGAGCTGCGCAGTGACAAAATTCGATCCAGCCATGATGGTCAAATGAATTGCTGCATCGCAAGCCGCTCGCGCATCGTCGCTGATCTCCCGGATCCGGTGCCAGCCGAGATGTTCGAATGGCCCCATCTCCGCGAGCCCTTGCTGCGCGGTCGATAACAGCTGCGAGATGGAGTAGCTAGGATCAACTGCGATGCGATGAGGTATGCGTGTCATTGCTGGTGCCACCATGTCTTCGATTCCTGGCAGGGTAAGATTGCGCCCGGTCCGAAACTGCGCAAAGACTACGTCTGGGGTGCCGAGGAGCCTGCTAAAGACGAGGGCCATGGCGACTTCTACCATGGTGGATAGAGTTATTCCGGACTGGCCGCCATTTCTCGGCTGTACGTCGAAGTCACGACACAGTTTGGTTTCCGGGTTGGGCTGATAGCCGTGAGGGACAGTGCAAAGGGTCGTGCTACCAGGCTGCTGTTTCTGCTGCTGAAAGCCGGACAATTGCGAGTGCCAGAAGGCTGTGGCTTTGGTGCTCATGTCGGATTGGAGTACGTGTTTGAGGAACTGGTTGAACTGCAGACCACGGATAGGTGGGCTGCCAGTGTGATATGCTCGCTCAACATCCTTGAAGGTCAGATCCAGAGAGACGCCATCGTATGAGGCGTGTGAACCGCTCCACACGAAGAACCGTCGGCTATCTCTACCGTTGTTCTCCTCCACGATGCAGAATCGGTTGAGGGCGTCGCCAAATCCCATACTTGCTTGCCGATCTCGCTCCAGGTAGCTCTCCAAGCATTTTTCGCGTTGCCAGCGGATGTTCTCTTTTATCACGGTCTGTGCATGGCCAGAGGTGCGACCCAGCAGCGAGGGGTCGATTTGGATAAGGCGAGTCCGCAGTAAGGGCCGAGCAGTGGCAACCGCATCCCAGGCGGCCATGAACCGGACAAGATCGATGCTTGGCGGGATAATAAAGACGCACTGTGCCTGGTACCGTGTCCACGGCGCTGCGAAGTAGTCTTGGACAGGTGTAGTAGGATACATGTCTTCAATCACACTTGTAGAAATGCCACACTGTGAAGCGGCCACAGCGAGTAGCTCAGTCTGTCTGTTGTGCGGTAATAATGCAAAGGGCTCCACGAGAGCAACGGCCTTCTGCTCGCAGGGAATCAGCGCCTCTGCCATATCGGACAGTACCGGAGATCTCAAAATTTGTTCCACAGTGAGAGACAGTCCCTCTTTGCGGGCGGCTGCCACTAATCTCATCGCGGTGATGGAGTCCCCACCAAGATGGAAGAAGTTGTCGTCGGAAGATACGTTCTTGGTTTCGAGTAGGCTCTGCCAGAGACCCCGTAGCTGTTGCTCCCGGGCTGTCATGGTGGTGAGAGATCGCTCACTTTGACTATGCCCCCGGAACAATGCCAGTTCCTGCTCTGACAGGCGGGACGCCAGCTGTCGGAGAAGTTTGCGGTCAACCTTGCCTGAGCCGGAGAGAGGGACCCGTCGCAAGGGTATAAACACCGTCGGGACCATGTAGCCTGGCAGGACGGCCCTGAGCTTGTTTTCTAATCCCTGGGTGAGTAGACTCAATTGGTTCAGTGCTTCTGCTGAGCTCGCGATAATATCTTGGGCATTATCATCCCCAACTTCGTTACCAATGTTGTCATGTTGATGTGGTACCAAGAAGGCCGCCAATGCGCTCTTCTTCTGCTCGAGCAGCTGGACGACATCCACCACGAGGTCAGTCACTGCGGCTCCGGCCAGAACATGCCGGAGGTTGTACTCAATCTCCCCAATTTCGACTCTCTGTCCCCGCAGCTTGACTTGGCCGTCCGCTCGGCCGATGAAACTGATCCGGCCATCGCTTGTATACCGCGCCAGATCTCCTGTCTTGTACAATCTTCGCGAAAAGCGGTTGTCGGGCATCCAGGGCGGGGCCATGATAAAGGAGGCCTGAGTCTTAAGATCATCGTTCAAGTAGCCTCGCGCCAGGATTGGACCCTCGATCAGAATCTCGCCAACCGCACCAATGGGAGCCAGGAAATTGGAATTGTCCACGTCGGCAATCCAGACCGCGGATCCGACTCCTCGGCCAATTACGCTTGGGTCGTCCGCCCTCTGGATGACCTCTGTTCCGATACTGTAGATGGAGCATTCAGCTGGGCCGTACATATTGATCAACTGCACATGGTCCGCCCATTGCTCGACCAGGTCCTTAGACATTGCCTCGCCCGCAGACACCAGGACCCTTAAGTCTGGCACTTGTGCTGGTTGGAGTTGGTTGATAACTGCGGCTGTCAGACTGGCATGGTTAGCTCCTAGTGATCGGATTGCACCAGGGAGATCATTCAGTCGGTCTGAGGCAGAAGGGATGCAAATGCAGCCGCCGTGAACCAGGGTGGCGAAGATATCACCAAACGAGATGTCGAATGTGTAGGCTGCAAATTGGAGGACGCGAGAGTGAGTCCCCAGCTTAATCGCGACTCCGTGCTCTCGCAGACTGGTGCAGACGGCCTTATGCTCAATCACGATTCCCTTGGGCTTGCCTGTCGAGCCGGAGGTGAAGACGACGAGGGCAGGATCGTGAGGTGCCGTTGACACGGGCGTCAGAGTATAGAGAGAAGATGAATCTTGTAGGTCCTGGAAGAGGCTAGAGTCCACAGTAATAGGGTTCGCTAACTCCATGGCAATAAATATTGCTGCGCTTTTCGTTGATGTGAGAACACATCTGGCACGAGGCTCGCCTAGATCATGCAAAATCGTTGCCAGTCGATGGGTAGGGTGCTCGGGATCAAGGCAAACCACTGCAGCACCTGCTTTCAGGGCAGCCAACATGGCGACAATTGTCCACTTGGATTTCTCAAAACATACCGGGACAACTACACCGGGTCCCACGGCATGCTGTTGGATGAGATGAGATGCCAGACTGGTTGTAAGCTCAGCAAGCTCTCCATAGCTCATCTCCCCATCCCAGGCGCAAATTGAGGGTGCCTCTGGCTGGGATTCACAGCGCCTATCAACGAGCTGGTGCAAACAGGCGTCGAATACCTCGGGCACCGTATCATTCCACTGCAGAACCTGGGCCATACCCGCCTTGCTAATACCGCAGACTTCCGCCACCCGGGTTGTTGGTTCTTCACGCGCGAGCAGCTGGAGCATATGCTCGAACTGATCGAGCAAGGTCTGGACCTGAGCGTGCTCTAATACACGATCGTCGTACATGGCGCGAATTTGAACTCGATTGGCCGCTTCAAGGGTACATTCAATGGTCAAAGCAAAGTCAAGGCGGACTGGCATGACCTTAGTGTCAGAGAGCAAGTTAGAGGACGTTTTCGACTGCTGCCCTGTCGACTGAATGACCAGCAAGCTGCGAAGGTTGCAGGTATCCCTGGTTTCAGGGTTGATGCGGCTGATCCGCTGCAGTCCAATATGTTGGTGTGGCAGCAGATCTAGGTACTCCTTCTGTATGCTCTGAAGCAGGTCAACAATGAGTTGATCTTTCTGGAACCCCACTCGGAATGGCACGGTCGATATTGTCGGCCCAACGAGGGACTCAATTCCAGGAAGCTGTGTTGTGCGGCCGCTAAGGGTCAGGCCCGTGACAACATCCGTGACATTGGAATAGCTTCCGACAAGCAAGGCCCATGCGGCCTTGATAATCGTTGCGGTGGTGATCCCGGACTCCTGTTTCCGGGGCAAGATTGTGGTTGCAAGATCCAGGTGCGCATTCCCCACAGCATGGTAATCATGCGACGGAAGTGATGGGAAATCGCACACCGCAGCGCCTGCGAGCTTTGCGGACCAGAAGGCTTTGGCTGCGTCAATGTCAATTGTCGACAGATGGTGGATAAAACTGTTAAACCCCCGGGTCTGCTCGACGATATCGTGTTGCTGCTCTTCCAGATATGCCTGCTGTACACGAGAGAGTACCAGCGGTAACGACCAGCCGTCCAGGATTGAGTGGTGAACTGTCCAAACGAAGTGATAACCTGAACTATCCGGAATATCACTGCAGGAGCGACGCCAGATTGCACATCGAGACATTGGCTGACCTGGGCGTAGTGAATTGTTCAGATCCTCCACAAGGAAGGACTGCAGCGAGACTTGGTCATCCATTTTGGTCCAGGGTATTTGCTCGTTGACGACGACTTGGAGCGTCCCTCGAGCATCATCGTTGACAAAGCGGGTTCGCAGGATAGGGTTCTGCAGGGCGACTATCTGCCAAGCGGCCTTGAACCGCTCCAGGTCGATTGACGCCGGAAGCGAGTGTACGAACTGCATGATATATGCGCTGGGAGACTTGATAGAGAGAGCCATGAGCGCCTCCTGGACGGGCGAGCATGGATAGATGTCCTCGATGAGACTCGGGTCGATTTGGCATTGATCACTAGCCAGCCGACAGACCTCCTTCACGCACTCACTTGACTCTAGGAGTGCAAAGGCAGGAATAGCTGAAATAGTGTCAGGAGCATCTCCTGAGTCAGTTTTTGCTATCGTTGCATGTGCTGCCATGTCGGACAGTACAGGGTGTGACAGGATTGTCTCCACTGTCAGAATAAGACCGGCGGACCGCGCCGCAGCCACCAGCCCAATGGCGAAGACTGAGTCACCCCCTAGCCATAGAAAATTATCCTGCACACTAATGCTTTCTGGCTCGGTATGAAAGAGGTTTGACCAGAGTGCCTGCAGCTGTCTTTCCGCCGGTGTGGCGGGCATGTGTGCCTGCTCGTCCGACATCGAGTCAGTGGTGGTACATGTAAATCCCGCTAGCTGACTCGCAGTCAGCTCTCCAGCAATGCTTCGCAGGCGTTTAAGATCTGTCTTCCCAGAAACCGAGAGTGGAAGTTGCTTCAAGGGCACATAGATCGATGGCACAGCGTAGGGCGGCAGAGCTCGTGTCATGCTTGAGATGATGTCCGTAACCAGAGTCGAAAATTGTTGTTGCTGAGCATCCGAGGTCATAATGACGGGAGAGCCACCTTCTTCTCTCTCCCAGTCGAGGTAGCCGACCTGGTTGATTGCGGTCTCTGAAGCCATGCGTAGGAAACCGACCAAGATAGGCCCTGCGTCGGTCTTGCCGGCAGGCGTGAGCACGTCGGCCACGGCCTCTGCGACCCCAATAGCGAGGCCAGTGAGGCAGCTCTGGAGCTGATACTCAACCTCACCCATTTCCAGCCGTTGCCCCCTAATCTTCACCTGATTATCACGACGTCCGACATAGCAGATGCTTCCTTCTGGGGTGTATTTGACCAAGTCACCGGTCCGATACATGCGCTCAGTCGATGTGTGCATCGACTCCGGCATCCATCGCGGACACGGGATAAAGGCCTGTTGCGTTTGGGCGTCATTGTGTAGATAACCACGGGCAAGGACGGGCCCATCGATGAGCAGCTCACCTACCGCGCCAATGGGCGCCAAGCGATCACAGTCGTCTTCGTCGACGATCCACGCGCGGCCGGTGATGGCCTGTCCGAGATTGCCACTCTCATATAGTGGCGTTGGCTCGCTGATAGCCAACGCCATGCACGCCACCGTGCATTCAGTCGGCCCATAGGCCAAAACCAATAGTCTCAGACTGGGCGCCCATTGGTCCACCAGATCGCGCGGCACACGCTCTCCACCAACAATTAAGGTATCCAACGTTTCCATAGATCCCGGATCGAGATTTCGAAGCAGCGAGGGCGTGAAGAAGGCGCTTGTCACTTTCATCTGATTCATGGCCTCGGGCAACCCGTTCATACGAGCCCAAGCGGATGGCACACAGAGACAGTCACCGTAGACGAGCGTGTTCATGATCTCAAGAATGCAGGCGTCGAAGGCGTATGATGCAAATTGGAGCATGCGCGGCTGTCTCGTGTCGAATCCCATGGCTTTTCCGCCTGCCAGGCTGCTGGTACACAGCTGGGCATGCTCGATCACCACCCCTTTCGGCTTTCCCGTGCTTCCCGAGGTAAAGATGGTGTAAGCTGCCGTGTCGGGGCTAACGACCGGTAAGTCCTCTGGGTCTTTCAGGTTGTTGAGCTGCTCGACAGCCACCTCAAATATTTCAGGAACGAGTTTTCGACAGGTTTCGGCGTACTTGGCCGACGTCAAGGCCAACCGGGATTGCGTTTGAACGAGCATGTCTGCGAGTCGATGCTTCGGCTGTGCAGGGTCCAGGGCAAGAAATGCTCCACCGGCTTGGAGAACGGCAAGCATAGAGACGATGGTCCAGCATGACTTGTCGAAATACAATGGGACGATCTCGTCGGGACCGATGCCGTGGTTCACCAGATATCCGGCCAGGCGCCGGACGAGCCTGTCTAGCTCGCCGTAGGTCAACTCGCCATCCCAAGCACTGATAGCCAGCGAGTGCGGCTGCGATGCCGCCCACCCCAAGATCAAACCATGGGCAGTCGCTCTGACCTCGGGAATGACGGGCTGACTCCAAGGCCATGTCTGGCAGGTTTCCTCGGTGTGGATTCGGTCAGACATGATAGAAAGTCAAATCCTAGGAGGCCTTGTTGGTATTTTCTCTGTGTATTGGGTATTCCAGGACCCTTTTAAACACTTAAAAGAAAGCCTGACCCCTCAGCCTTCAACAGTACTCCCAGGGAGGGGCTGAGACCTGAATGGAGAAATTGCAAAAGACAAAACAAATTAATTACATACCTTACCAACAGATACACACTGGTGCGGCTCGAGAGGCTTGGTTGCATGCAACTACGATCTTTCGCAAAACCTCAAAAGGCGATCTGGCAGACTAGGACATGCTGCATTAGCCATTTCTCTTCTCTCCACTGTGGCCTGATCTTTGCGAGCTGAGACTTCTCGTGGTCAAGAGCTGCCATCATGTAATATGCCGCATAGCCGGTCCCCCACCTCAGCTTTATAAAGGGAGTTTGACATCACCCTGAAGTATAAACCCCTCTATCCCCTGGTAGATTTCGATTAAACAAACTGCGAACAAGTAGCAGAATCCAACCTGATGGCGATCTTGACTGACACGAATACTCCGGCACGCCTCGCGGCCAAGGGAGCCCAGGGTGTGTACAAGGAACATCTGCCCATCTCCTACGACAAAGATGCCGAGGAGGGTCGGAAGGGATACCCCGCCGCCAAAGTGAGTCGAATTCATGCTGCCTTTTTTCATCTCTCCACTGAATGTGATGGCGACAACTATCTAACATCCTCAACCCTTTTCCTAGTATCCACACTACCTGCCCACCTGGGATCCTGCACAGAAATTTCCTCCCCTGGAGCCCTTTGAGCATCACGACCCCGGTCTCGATGCCGACCCGAGCTACTCGGAGCTGCTGCCCCCTGGGGTACAAGTCACTCACTTGACGCCGACCATTGGCACGGAGATCCGCGGCATACAGCTGAGCCAGCTCTCTGCTGCCGGTAAGGACCAGCTCGCGCGCTATGTGGCTGAACGCAAGGTAGTCGCTTTCCGAGCGCAGGACTTTGCCTCCTTGCCCATCGACAAGGCAGTCGATTTCGCACGCTACTTTGGACCGCTGCATATCCACCCAACTTCGGGCTCTCCCGAGGGTTTCCCCGAGGTCCATCTGGTGCACCGCGCGGCGGGAGATCGCAGTGCACAAGCCTACCTGCAGACGCGGACCACCTCGGTCGCCTGGCACTCGGATGTTTCTTACGAAGCCCAACCCCCTGGCACTACCTTTCTCTACATTCTCGAGAAACCCGAGGCGGGCGGAGATACCCTGTTTTCCGACACTGTTCAGGCCTATCGCCGCCTGAGTCCCGCCATCCAGGAACGCCTACACGGACTGGAGGTGGTGCACTCCGGCGTTGAACAGGCAAACACCAGTCTGTCTCGTGGAGGCATCCTACGCCGGGACCCCGTGGTTTCAACACATCCTATTGTGCGGACTCATCCGGTTACGGGAGAGAAGGCATTGTTCGTTAATCCACAGTGTGAGTTTCAATTCTACCTACTCACTTTCCTGAAGACACGTCATTAACCCGATGGATCACTTAGCTGGACGGGAAGTCGTGGGCCTCAAACAAGAGGAGAGCAGCATGCTACTCAAATTCCTCTACGACCACATTGCGTCGGGCGCGGATTTCCAGGTGCGTGTTCGTTGGGAGGAAAATAGCGTAGTCGTCTGGGACAATCGGGTTACCCAGCACACGGCACTGATTGATTGGTCGGATGGTCAAAGGCGTCATATTGCGCGGTTGGCACCCCTAGCGGAGAAGCCTTACGAGACTCCTTTTGCCGAGATCTAGGCCCGGCGAGGGGAGGGGAACCATGACTGGGCGTAATGTGATATTGTATCCAAATTGAGTTATATCACGAGGTAGAACCAACCCTTCCTCGGGATTATCATACATACTATGTCTCATGTTTCTCGCTTTCTTTCCCTCTTGTGTAGTCCACTGTAATTACCTGTATGAGTATTAAGATACCGATCGATTAGCTCAGAAAATGGCTTACTGGCTTACGTGAGAAACCCTAGCATAGACCAGCGGGACTTGACAATTATGAGGGGTTCAACTGGTTAGCCCCTTAAAATCTCGCAAGATACACCAAGTAATACATTAACCCTGTCATTCACAGCGGTCTCCACACGTAAAATCTGGTGTGGGCCACCGTCGGAGTCCCCGTAAGTGGACCAGGGTCTGGCTCGGGCATTGCTTAGTTCACTAAGCTTTCCTTGGCACTGCTCGGATTTTATTGGTCTTGCTCTGCTTTTTCTAGCGTCCATCAAGCCAGAAAGCCGTCGTGAGGGGTAAAGGGGCATTAGACCTAGTCGAGTAAGGTTCTATCCCACTAAACCTCTTCATTACCCACTCAGAACAGGTCTTCAAGCTTCTCCGGGGGGATCTAAGGTCTAAGGATTAAACCGCCGCTCTCCGAATGTAACATCCCACATACTAATGAGATTCTACTCCCGTGCATATGAGGGTTAAATTGGATGTGGGGATATACAGCAACCAAATCAGGCAATATTTTTGCTATTTCATAGCACGACACTGTGTAGTATCCTACGCAACATCTCCTCTCGCTTACTACCCCACTCCAAGGACTTTTATGATCAACACACTCGGCAGAGGCTGACTGAAACCTGCAGACACTAGAATACACAAACGGTCCAGCCCGGTCCATCATCCACCGAGTCTGCCTGCTACGCATTTTCTTCAGCTCATAGCGACGCAGTAAGCGCAAACCCCTGACTCTGTAGGCTCCCGATGCCTTTCTCTTCATCATCCAAGGCATTAAAGGCTAAAAGAATCTCCTCCTTGGATGCCCCCTCCGGCAGACTAAAAGATGACAGCGTCCGCCCCACGGCACGATAATCTGTCTTATTCAGCGTGCTGCAAGACAAGATCCATCCGCTTATGATAGGCGTGGGAACTCCCAATGCCTCGCCCAAGCTGGCGACCGGCACGCACCAGAACGGAATATCCTGGGAGACCTGACGCGCAAGCATGCTACCAGGCAGTCCAGGTCGTTTGTTGAGCTGCGCGTTGCTGGCGACAAAGCTGGCCAGGTCGGAACATTGAGCACCGTAGTCGGCGTTGAACATGTCCAGCACACTTTCCATTTCAGTGAAGCCGAGGGCAGCCGCCACCTGCAGCCGCTCCCTGTCGGCGGCGAGCATGAGGTCGCATACCTCGGGCGTCATGCAATCGCGGTAGAAGAACAGCCCCGTCTCCTGCCGGCGAATGGGCCCGATGTTGCACAACATAGTTGGCGGGTGGACCACGCCGTGGTTCGTGGACAGGTCCAGTTGCAGCGTGTTGGTATACCAGACCAGGGGCATGGAAAACAAAAGTCCGAGGTAATGGCGGGTCCGCTGATCCACTGGTCCCCCGAAACGCGCAATTTCCAACCTCTTCTTGATGCCATTGATTCGGATTTGCACTTCGCCGGCGTCGTTCAGCTGCGTGCGGGATGAGTATGGGGCCCGCGAGGTGGTCATCACTGCCTTGGCTTGGAGTCGAGCCGCCGCAATGGACGCGATGAAGTTACCCGTGATGAAGATGACGACATGCTGGCTAAGATTGTATTGCGCCAATGTGGCTATAATCTCATCATGCGCAGTAGACGGCACCGCAATCAGGATTACTCTGGTCGCTTGCAGGACGTCGGCCAGCTCTTGCGTGAGGCTAGGGTAGAACCGGCCGGTGATAGCCTCAGTGGCATCTAGATGGCCTTGTTCGGCCAGACGGTCGTAGACTCGGCGATGCCCAGGCGCTGCCCACAGGATGGCTTTTACGTTTCGACTTTCGAAATCGACGGCGAGCGCGCAGCCAGCGTGGCCGACGCCAATGATTCCAACTCTTGGTCTGTCCATGATGACTGGGAGCAGCGACTTTGCAACGATGCGATAACAAGAATTGTGTATCAAATTGAAGAAGTAGAGGTAAAGCTTTGCTATCTGAGACTATTCCCTAGGCGATGTGACCGAGGTGACGGCGCTCTTTTATAGACAGTACTGGCAGCCGAATTTGATGACTTCTTGGGAAGAGACCTGGTTTCCCGTCGAGACTATTTCTCTAGACGATTCGGGGCTGGTGCTCCGAGGCTCGACGGAGCTCGTTGAGGCCGTCCAGGTTGATCAGAGGTCAATATCGTCGGCTAAACTACGCATGCTTCTGTAGCTCAACTCAAGGCGCCAGTTACTTTGTGGTATACGTAAGGTCTGGACTTGGAGAGACATGAGGAATGAGACCCGCCGATGGTGTATGCTAGATCAGCAAATGACATTATCCGTATAGATCACGACTGCAATTGTCTATGGCATCCCATTCGGCGTTCTGCATAGGCGAGCTGCAGGGGTCCAGTCTTGAGCAGGTTGACAAAAGTACTTCTGGAGCCATGGTCTGTATATAACAGTTACCTGTAGAATCATACGAGATAACCGTAAGGTGGTAATTTGCAGATGTCAGTACCCTAACTTATTCCCCACCAAGATGGACTTCTATCAGTGGCCGAACCCGAGGACAGTGGTTAGCCTTATTCTCTAGAACAAAGGCAGGCCCAAAGGTACTCGAGCACTAAGTGACAGGGGTGCCCAGCCCAGTAGCTCTTATTCCCCTCCCTCTGAAACTGAGATTTCATTTTCCTTTCTGCTTCCATTCTCTGCCTTTGCTCTCTCCCCTCCATCGCCCCCATCATGGCTGATACACGAAAATTCAGTAAAGATGAGGATGAAAATCAAGTTCAGGATTCAATAGAGATTGTGACAGTGACAGAACCTTCCCCAGATACTGCGGTTGGAGAGACATCAGGCGGCTCTGATGAATCGGATCCAGAGCCATCAACGGCTCGCCTTGTGCTGGTTCTATTTGGTCTCTGGGTGAGCCACTTCTGTCCTCCCGCGCCTTTGATAGCGGTTTAATGTTCTAGGTTCTAATATTACACACTATAATTAGCTCGGAGTCTTGCTCAGTGCCCTAGGTATGTGCGCCCCTCCTATCCCGCATACTCCGTCGTCGACAGCGATCAACCCCCTTCCCCAATGGGTTCTGACACTTCAAAGACTCCACCATGCTTGCCACTATTATAGAAGACATTTGCGATGACTTCGATGCATTCTCTTCGTATTCCTGGATTGCTACCACCTATCCTATTGGACTCTCCATCTCGCAGCCATTTAGTGGACAGCTAACAAACCTCCTGGGCCGGCGATATGCCCTTGTACTTTGTCTCTCAGTATTGGCTGTGGGACAGCTGCTGTGCGGACTGGCACCCACGTTGTCGGTCTTTTTGCTAGGCCGAATCGTACAGGGTCTTGGCGCAGGCTGCATCGGCACCATCACAGCTTTTGTCGAAACCGACCTGGTGTCCATGAGGAAGCGAGCGCTGATTGAAGGCATTGGCAATATCACCTACGGTGTTACCTTGGCTCTGGGTGGCGTGTATGGGGGCGGCGTCTCCAACGCCATTGGATGGAAGTGGGCCTTTCGGATTCAAGTGCCATTTATAGTGCTTGACATTGCAATGGTCGCTTTCTACCTCAACATCCCTCAGGGTAAGAGCCGTCCGATCAGGCGCCCAGTCGATTATGTCGGTATGGTTGCACTTCTTGTTATCATCATCCTCTTCCAATTCGGCATGAACGCCGCCGGTTCGGTGTTTTCGTGGGATAGCGCGGCCGTGCTGTCGACCCTGATTCTTGCCGGAGTGGGGTTTCTTGGGTTTATTCTATGGGAACTCTACAAAGCCGAAAACCCTCACATTCCCATCCGAGCCTTGATGCAACGCACCGTGGCTGCCTCGCAACTGAGCTCGTTCTTCTCCAACTTCGGCAACACCAGCATCATGTACTACGTGCCCGTATATTTGGAGGTCCTTGGCCATTCCCCCGGCCAAAGTGGCCTGCGATTCGTCCCGCTGGCACTCTGCTTTGCGCTCGGCTCCTTCGCCGCCGGATTCTTCGTCAAGGCTACAGCAAAGTACTACTACATCAATTTCCCAGTTCAGGTTTGCTCTGTGCTCGGCGCAGTCATGCTCTGCACCATGACTCAGTCCACTCCCTCCTGGGCTCCCTTCGTCTATCTTGGCATCTACGGCGCTGGGTCCGGTGGCGCCTACGTGACCAGACTCATGGGTCTTCTTACCTCCACCGATAAGCAGCACCTGGCTGTGGTTCAATCATGTTCCTTCACCGTTCGTAACACTGGCACTACCATCGGCCAGACCATCTCGGCCACCATCTTTCAAAACTTATCGGTCAAGGCTATCAGTTCACTATTTCGCAATCAACCCGGTTTGGCCGACCGGATCTCGCATAACTATAGCAATTTAGACCTGTTAAGTGGCATAGAGAAAGAGACCGCTATCCGCATATACCTCCGAGCAGCGCGTGGCGTATTCTTTCTCGCCATGGCGGTTCTGGCTGCCGCTGCGGTATCTACCTTCGTTATGCAAAATAATGAGCTAGTCGATAGTCCCAAGGAGAAGGAGGAGACGAAGGAAGAGAAGGAGAAGGAAAAGAAGGCGGCGTCATAGGTAACTCAAGACAATCAGATTGATAAAAGAACCACAGAATAAAAGCAACATACTTGTAGTTAAAATGTGGAAAACCTGGTTTGTCGGAACTCTGTTTTTGCCATGATAGATGATTTGATTATGTTGGCGGGATTCAGAGGAGCTTAAAGATGGGAAAGAAAGCCGGTTTGGGAGTTTAGATTATTTTGATATGGAATAGTCCAGCTGTTTTTATACTTACCAAGTATTTAAACTGCAGGTATGCATAGGATAGATAAACATGAGGTGTTAAGTACAACCTGACCTAACTCATCAGGCCGCAATCTCACGCACTGGCTAGTAATTCATGAGCCAGTCCGACAGGGTGATGGCCTGCATGACGAAACAGAACCAGGTGATCTTACAGCCCCGCGCTCACCTTCTCCTACTTTAAAGCCTAGCTGCCACTTTGTTTTCCAGGTTTCAAAAATCAGTACCCAGGGACCTTCCCAAGACTACAAGAATCAGGTAGGTGATGGCCCATTTAACCTACGCTTTTATTCAGCAATTGATCCTTCTTTAGTGAGTACCCAGGTATATACAGAGATAAAAAAGTGTTATACTCTGGTTCTCGGCGCAGTCATCTCAGAATGCTGGTATGAATCTCTATGTTCTAAGCCTAAAGTCTCCCTCAAGAACCTACAAGAAGTCATGACCATGCTGATCATAATATACCTAGACGACACTTACTATCGCAGCCGGTATCTTTCCTGAAGCGGAGGATCTGGCTCCTATTCATGTTTTGGCGATGGACACAAGGGATCGCGATGGTGGCGGACGGATGAGGAAAGATAAAACTGGAAGCATTTTGACAAAGCCCGAGAAGAAGGATGCAGCTAGCCATTGAAGCTTCGTCGCGAGCAGAGTCTACATTCAACCAAGGAACTCCAGGATACGGGTAGGAGATCGGTTGTGGTCGGGAGGGTTCTAGTGAACCTAGCTACCGACAATATCACCTTTCTGTTTAAGATGATCCAGTGTAATATTCCACACTGTGTCGGTTTAGTAGACCAGAATCGAACATGTCGGACGCGACTCAAAAGAAAATTGTGCTGCCTATCCTGATTTGAACGGTCTCCTCGGAGTTACTCAAGTATCGTTTCTCTAGGGCCTCCACTGGAGCCTGGAAACGAGGGAATGGGCATGGATGTGATTTAGGGGCAGGTGAGCTGGCGTTTGAGTTGCCTTTTTGGGAGGGCAACAACACCCAGCTGGATGAGCAGCTTACAACGAACCGAGACTACACCGGGTATAGGTTAGACTAGTGTAGTGGGATCTTGGACGATGCACGACTAGACTTGAATATCACTGCATTACTAAGGGCCATGCTAATAGGACGGTCATGCTAGTGCAAGCACATAATCGGCCCCATAACGCAACTGCTATAGACTGTCTGGCTATGCGATTGCTGAACCCGGTTGACAACCCTGATATAAAGTATGCGGTAATTTGATACATTCACCATCAGCGTTGCATTATTTGCGGGTCTACGAGGGGGTAAACTCGAATCATCTGGATGCGCCCTTGTGATTCGTAAATGGCTGTCTGTGGCTTACGGCTAAGGGAGGGGGGGGGATTCTGAGACATACAGGCTTAGCGGTCCCTTATGCATTCCTAGTGCCCAAAAGGTTTCCAATACCGCCTGTACTGTGACGCCGGGGGTACGCGTAAGAATATTTTACCAGACACACTGACTACTCCCTTTTGGGGGTGGAAGAACAAAGAAGAAAATCGGAGGAACGGCCGGAGGAACGGCCCAAGTCTCAAGTGCCAGGATCATTGAGGGGTGCTCCGTACGGACTAGCAAAAAAGCCGGAAGGATGAGAGGGTTCAATCGGCCCACCCAAGCCAGATTGGATCCAAAATGTTTCCACTCCCTTTTTCGCCCGATGCTTGTTTTCCTTGGCAGAAGCTTGGTTTTTCTTCCATCGGTCGACCTGTCACCCCTCTCTGTCTCCAGTTGTTCAGAAAACAGGTGGTCATGACCGCTTTAGGGATTGATTGAAACTCCGGCTATAAGGTGACGCCCCAATTATAGCAGTTATACGCAATACCATCCTGACATCCTATCAGGATGTGAAACAATGGCTACTAGTGCTGGTAGTAATGGTTACAATGCTGCGTATTGTAAATCAATTCACATTGCTGGTAAACAAATTACCACGTACACCTCTCCACTAACTCATACTCCTCTGCTTATGAGGGATTTTGCTTACATTGTGGCTACTGATGAAATTAATTTCATATGGGAAATTATCCATTGGAGAATACTTTGGAACAGACTCCGCCGAGCTGAGATCCCCTTTGGAGGGCTTATGTTTAGACGTCTTGTCTGAGGTAGCCCTTTTATGTCACTTTATTGATCACTTAATAGTATATATGGTGTGTTCTGGGTGCATTGGGACACCGTTAAGTGTGGTTCTCAGTTTATACCGTCGGAATCTTCCTCGCCGTTCTTGGAGTCCATATGGACAGACCCTCGCATAAAGCAATATATATTTCACTACTAGTACCATATGAGATTTACTGGTACTACTAGTGATGATATTAGTGATGGAAAGAATCTCAACACAATTGAGCGCTATTAGTAAATACGGCTAACATCAGAAAAATTTTCAATCTCTTGAAGATAGGTTCTTGTGTATCACCGGATTTTCTCAATAATATGACACAAGAGTGTGGAAGATCGGCCGAGCCGGTCAAAGTAGTCTCTGATATTTAACATGGATCACATAACAAAAAAGTTAATACAAACATCATCTCAAGGCAAGATGGCCGAGTTGGTCCAAGGCGTCAGGTTAAGGTCCACCTTAATACCCAGCTTCACAGCTTCCTGATCATCGTAAGATGGCGTGGGTTCGAATCCCACTCTTGTCATTCCTTTTTGTTTTTGCCGCCGCCGCGTAGGCGGCGTTGCCGATACAGAAAGCTCCTCACTAGGGGGAAACACATCCACAACATTTTTAACCTTTTTATTATCTTAATTTAGATCATCTCCATTCCGTTCATCTTGCAGTGTTTACAACCTCATTCCGCTTTCTAGTGCTTACAACCCCTAAAAACATTATTCAGTAGAATGACCTGGGGCCATGTACAAAACAATCTCGCTAGGCATGCCTTTACTCCTATTCTATGCATATTGTGGTTGCTGGCTACCACTATCAATGGACTAATATCAGCACGCATTAACGACGAGCTATATGTCATACTTGAACACAGGTACATCGCAAATATATCTCATCAAATCATCAGAACCACCACCACGGCCACACTCCAGAACAGCTAACCAAATATATACCATATATGGCATACTACCATTCGATTCTAATACAACAAACGCATTCGAATCAGCCCCATCAACACCTCGTAAAGTCATCAGCAACTCCCTCTTATCGCATTAGCAAACAACACACCCCGCAGAGAGTCATTTCTCCGCCTTAGGCGGGTACTCCTTTCCGTCGCGCACCACCTTGGGCGCACAAGTGCAGCGCTCACTCTCCGGAACTGAGTCCAAAACGGAGGGGATATGCGCGCCGCAGCCCCACCAGGTGGCTTTGTCTGGATGCATTCATTAGTATCTTGACCTTGTGGCAAATGCTGTAGTGGGCTTGGGGGCGGGGGATGACATACTGCAGTTTGAGCAGTTGACTTTCATGCACATCTTGAAGAGATTTCTCGATCTTGTTCTTGGATATGAAGGGTGGCGGGGGTAAATAGAAGTTAATGGAAGGAGATAACTCGAGATAGAGCCGGATTTATAGCTCGTCAGTCCCTTGCTTAGTCATGGCTCAGTCGCCGACCGGGTGATCCCCGAGAAACCCGACCGGTCTCTTGCGGGGAAGTTGAGGTGCGTGGGGGTTTTATGATTTTCAGCTGGGTGTTGGGGATGAAACGTGCGTGAAGATAGTATTTGGGAGGTATGTATGTAGGGCTTAGTGGAGGGGATTGTATGGTGGAGGGACCTTGGGGGAATCGATGTCATATTACTTGTAGAGTGGACTCCCAGCTTTGTACTTTAGCCATAATAAATGCAGTGTTCAGCGTTCTACTGGGTACTCGGTATAAACAAAAGACCCCCCGAAAAGTAATGTCCTAGATCGTCATCTCATGAATCGGTCATATCCATTCACAACTTCCCCGTCCTCTCTGCAGGAGCACAGCACGTGGCTGGCTCCGGGTGCAACGTCGACTTGTTAAACGACTGCGTCGAAGGCGGCACGTCCAGTGCGGGATTCTTGGTGAAGAATCCATCGGGCTTGAGCATGACGCTGACGCGCTCGACGGGCATGACGGGAAAATCTTCAATGCGGGGGTTATGCGTCAGGCCGAAGGCTGTAATGTATCAGTAGTCTAGCCCTGCTGCCGACCGGCAATACACAATCGTAGAAGGTTCACTTACTATGCCACAATACAATATCCTCATTCTCAACAGGATCTTTCCGTTGTACCCACTTCTCCACGCCCTCGCTCTCCCGGCTCTGGTTGGTGAATTCGCCCGCCGCATACAGCTCGTCGTCCCGATACTTCGTGATCCAGATTGGCTTGGTTGCGAAGCCGGCCCGCTTGGCGCCGTATGACTTCGGGCTTGATAGAAGCATCTGACTGGGCGAGGTCTGAAGCTTGTACGCTACGGGCTTATAGGTGATGGGGTTGATGTGGGCATCGTTGCGAATTTTGAACACGCGGTGGCGGCTGATATCGGTGTTTGCCGTGCCGCTGGTGCGGAGCACTGTCTGCTCGGTTGTGTATCCCACTAGGTAGGGGTTGCTCTCATCCTCAGGCAGTGGCACACTATCTTCGTAGTAGACGGTATTGTTGAAGCCGTCCAAGGCAGGATCCATCCGGAAAGAGAACATGTGCTGATGGAAGGGCGCCATGACGCCAGGGCCGACGTTCGTGCCCCATGGAACAGTGGTGCCGTACTTCTCGTTGTCAAAGGGCACAGTGGAAAGGATACCGGTTGCTCTGACTTCTAGCTCGATGTTGGCGGCCTGGTCAAAGATGAAAGCGAAGATGTATTCGTAGTTGGCAACGGTGCAGATCATCTGCACTACTAGTTGGCGGTTACGGACGACCGTGGCGGCATTGTTGCGGTAGTTGGTATGTTTGTGCTGCAGACCGTTATCCTGCTCATGGAGGCAGATGACATTCTTCAGCAAGACAGGGTTGCCCTTTGAATCAGCGCGGTAGCCATCAAAGTACTTAATGTGACCTAGACAGTCGCAGCCTAGGGAGAGCTGGTTGGCTGTGACACCGAAGCCTACGTCTCCCACATCGAATGCCTGCTTGCGGTGATAGGGTGCACGGGGATCTATAGCGCAAGGGTCAGACTGGTCCACCTAATTTAATAGCAATAGAAGGGATGATATGGGAATAAACTTACCGCCATACGGCACGGTCATCTCCGACATGGACAATCTGTAGAAGACATTCCGCTTATCATAAGTGAGATTGTAAATAACGAGACCCTCACGGCTATTGAACCCAACGCGAAATCTCCACTTCTGCCACGAGACCACATTGTCGTCGACGTTAAAAGATGGACCCTGAGGCTGTTGGACGATATAAGGCTTGAGGTCAGTGCGCAAGGGTTCCTGCAGCAGGTCATGCGCATACTGGATGGTCTCAACTGGCTTCCAGGGCTGGGTTTCCGTGGTTTGTGTATCAACTCCACCGGGTAGATAATCCATTCGAACCAACTCGCGCTTGTGTACGTCGAAGACAGGGGAGAACTTGCAAGGCACAGAGTAGTGGTTGTTTTCGGGATGGTCTGTCGCAACGATGTACATATAACACTGGAACAAGCGACGCGTCTCATTGGGATCATCGGTGCCATAGATCCAAGGGTCGTTGCAGACAGTGACACCAGGAGGCAGGTTCAGTTTAGCCACCTCTGCCTGCACGGCCGGATGGGAGAGACAGAGTTGCTCGACTTCTCCCAGTTCGTCTGGATCACCAGGACCCTGTTGTTGTCAGAGACATTGTGAGGTAACACAGATGTGTTCTTGTTCCATGAGTCTTACCTGGACGTGTTTGGGCAATTCTTTGGCCGAAACGATTGATCTGGTGTCGGCATTCAACAATGCCTTGCCGAAGGCCATGGTATCCATGCGGTGGAAAAGAACCAGCAGCAAGCGAGTGGGCTTTGCGGGCAGGGGCTTGCCTAGCCGTTCCGCTTCAATGTACGGAACCACTTCACTCTTGATGGGTTCTTGGATATCAATCTTCTTGTACCGTAGAGGGACCCCGGGGAAGGCCGCCGCCATAATCTTGGTGGCCAGGACGATCTCCGCCGGGGTAATGGAGTCGAAGGGGTGCGTTGGGGCTGCCATCGTGTCTATATCCGGGTATCTACTAAATATTTCGAGACACTGCCGAAGTTAAAGAGAAGAACGAGGGACAGCAGAAACGAGATGCTATATAACTTTTCCTCCCCGCCCAGATTGCCCAGATTACCCCGATTGGAGACACAGGCAGGCGGAGTTGCCATATCATCCCTCTTGGGAATGTCTTGGCCTCCGCTTCGCGAAAGAGGATCTTGATTGGCTCTCACGGCCGACCCGGCGTATCTCTTACTGTATGTGGACTAGCGTGGGCGCCTTATCAGGGCCTTGCTGATCTCAGCATACCACCAATCAGAATCTGTACTGACTTGGCAGTGAGAAGAGGCCTCGTTTATGTAATGATATTTATGCCGGGACTTGTACATTTTATGCGCCAAATTAAAGCATGATTAGACACATTCCCTTCCTTACGACACCATGAAAGCCGTGACCCCAAGCACCAAGCATGCTGTGACCCCCGTCACTACTCCTGCGCCGATTCGATCCGATGTGGTGATCGGGCGCAGTTCACTGGGGTCTCGGGATGAATCTGAAGCCTGGGTCCCTGCGGCGCTGTTCCCCTGACTGGATCCTCCCGTGGTATGAGTGAGTGGGCCGGGGTTGGCCTGGAGAAGATTGGCCTGGACAACTTCCAAGGCGGCCATCTGCTGTCCCACGCCCACTGTACCATCATAGGTCCCCGTGGTCCATTGCATCCCACAGTATGTACCCGTCTTACCTCCCACACATTGGGCTGCTGCTGCCTTGGCTGTCGGTTGCAGGCGTGCCATAATGGTATCGTAGGTGAAGGGAGCCAGTCGGGCCGTGTCAGCCATCCACCGCACCAGGTAGGCCTTGAACGAAAATTGGTCCGTTTGGCAGGTCCCCACGGTCTCGCATGCGGCCTCGTAGAGCACGTTCTTGGAGCTCTCGTTCGTGGAGAGGAAGCTGCTCTGAGCCTGAAGAAGGCCGTTGACCCGTTTGCGCCAGTTCTCATCTCCGTTGGTCTGCTTTCTCATTAGTTGTACGTCGCATAACAGAGCAGAGTGACCAGGTCTCATACTTACATAGTTCCACATGTGTGCTGCCCCAAGCAGGAACACCCCGTTATTATAAGTCCACTCAATATGATTGAGGTCGGTGCAGTTGTTCTCCTCACTCGTCCCGTCGAACACATGATACTCCGGTCCAATCAGTCCTACGTCCGTCACCCAGTCCCAGACCTTATTCGCCCAATCCGCATACGTCGCGTTGCCCGTATATCGCGCGAGTCGAGCCGCGATGTTGAAGAAGCATCCGTTCGAGATCGAATTCCGGTATGTGTAGCCGCTGTTGAAAGTATAGATCTGCCACTTCAGCCCTCCTCCACACTTCTGCGTATTCCATCGTTGTGCTTGTTCGTTGAACACGGCCTGCGCGAGAGATAGCCACGACGGTTGGTCGGCTGGGGGATTGGGGAAGTTTCGCTCGGCGGCGCGCAGAGCAGCGAAGGCCCAGAACGCCTGGTCATCGTTTCCCTCCGTGCGCGTCTGGTTGGCGGGCATGAAATCTCGGTTGGGACCGACCTGGTGGAGGATGGCTTGCGCGGTCAGGTCGTTGTATGTGGTATCTCCGGTGTAGGCCCAGTAATTGACCAGGGTGCCGAAGAAGGCCCCCGCCTCCCACCAATAGTATGGATCTGGAAGGTTTCCAGGAACATCGCCGGTGTTGTTGCCCGTATAGAAGCTGACTAGGTCCCAGGCGAGTTCGCTTGCGACGCTCTTAACGCTGTCTAAGGGACAAGAAGTGTCTGTTAGCTTCCAACAGAGGTCTAAGTATTGATCAAGGTCTGCGAAACTCACCAGGGTTTTGGAGATCGAGGTCGATCGCCAGGACGTGGAAGCAAGGGAGAGACCAAACAACACACAAGATGATGGATCGCCAAAGGCGAAATTGTGGAATGCGCGACATCACACCAAATCCATCAAGCTGTTTGCAAAACGAGTAAAAAGACAAGGAATCGAAGATGAAATATTCAGGAAGAGAGAAAGAAGAGACAAAGATAGAGGAGAGGCGCGGTCCAGTGAATTCGAAACATTATGCTGAGGCTGGCTGTGGAATAACACGAAACGGCATATGCAAGGGCCTTCTGCGGGCCGTAGCAAGGATCTTATTATTGCCAGTAAATAGATGCCGTTCAGATACTTTACATACAGAGAACCAGTGCATGGTCAGCTCTCTGCTACTCTGTATCATCCTCAATTGGTTTATTGCCCGGACAGGTCCTTAAGTAGATCCCAAAGGAATTTCTTGACTAGTACCGGACAGGCGTACTCTGAGGTCTTGGACACGCAGTAACCAATAATAACATACTACTCTACTAGCCTAATATCAATCCAGGCATAATTTCTTATGCACACCAAAGCTTTAACTATAAAGTAGTAGACCACTGACTAAAGGCAGAGTACCGTTGACTACCGTAGATGTTGTGGGGGCAAGTTCTATCTTCATTCTTCCGCACACACTTTCGTCGTCAAAACCAGCAGGCTGATCATCAAGTACACTACCAAGCCACATACTTACTTGTAGTGCTATATTTCCACTGTTTCGCCTGCACTATCATGAGCCTCTTGGTAATATCATCTCTATCAACTGCAGCTAATCGATCATATCATCTGCCGATAACGGGCGGGGTCGCTTACTCAGCTACATTTTGGTGGGGAAATTGACTCCTCCAGCATGGATTCGGGCTGCTGCTTCTCTCTCCCTCGTCAAGTCCAGCAAATAAAGCTGCAGCATATGCTATTCATCCAAGGTTATAGGCTTATGGCCTAGAAAGGAAAACTAACTCCTGTAGGAATTGCCAGTTAGGGACAATGGACCATTCCCAGCGTCCCAAGCGAACCAGCAATGCGTATGACCATCTCTTTCCCCAGATGTGGATGCTTCTAGTTCACGTCCACTAACCCCGCCAGCTGTCAACGCTGTCGCTCCCGCAAGGTCAAATGTACTGGCACCCATCCCTGCGACAAGTGCTGTCAACGTCGGGAAGACTGTGTCTTCGAAGATGATCGCAAGATCGTAGTCTCTGAAGAGTGAGAACCATGATCTGCCATTACCGAGAGAGACCAAGTTAATCTTCTTCCCAGGTTATTCCTATCCCTCAAGCGAAAAGTGGAGGCTTTAGAAAAGAGCGGTGACTCTTCCCCGGTGGTCAAACGCCGGCGAGCCGTGACGGCTGACAGTGCGAATGAATCCAGCTATGGTAAGGCAAAACACCCTTTCATGCTGCATATCCTTATCTAATCAGTACAGAACCAGCATCGGAGTTGGCCCGAGAGGCATCGCTCGACCCAGTCGAGTCCCATCGAATGGATGACCATTTCACCTCCAACCCTTTCATCAATCCGGGCTACCTCAAGCATACCGGACGACGACAGCGGATATGGCGTAGGTTATCTACTTCCTCTTGGATGGCAATTGCTGACCGCTGCGCAGTGTTTCTTGGACCGACTTCGACCTGGTCGTTCAGTCGCCGCATTCTTACCATTGTACAGGCACATATCTCGCCAGAGAGTCCACGCGCAATCCCTCTCGCGGTAGATGGCGATGCATATCAAATACAGTGGCGCCACGCCAGTTCTGAGGAGGCTCCTGACATTAGCGGTCTGCCCTCTCTAGAGCATGCACTGTACATGGTGAGCACCGTGCAGTTTCATTTCACCCACCTGTACCGGCTATTCGATGAGGATGAGTTCTATCGGCATTTGTATGAGTTTTACGATGATGCGGCAGCCAAGGTGCAGGAACGCCGTCTGTGGTACGTGCAGTTTCTCATCATCCTAGCCTTCGGAGAGGCCTTTCTGGACCCAGTGCGGAACCACACAAACACAGCGGGCTGGACCAAGTATTTCTCCAGGGCTATGTCACTGCTGCCCGATATTACCGGGTTATGGCAGGACCCTACACTCGCGATTGAGGTGCTGGCTCTCATTGGGCTGTATTTCCATTCGGTGGATATGAGGGATACTGCCTATTGCTATGTGAGTATCCGCACAATGTTTTGTGTGCTTGGCTAATCATGTAGATTGGCCATTCAATGCGCATGGCATTGGTTGAAGGGTTTCACCGAGCGCTCCCAGTCAATCAATTAGGACGAAAGTTAGTCGAACGCTGCAGCAACATCTGGTGGACAGTGTATATCCTGGACCGTAAATTCGCGGCGCTGATAGGATCCCCGAATTCAGTGCGGGACGACGAGATCACCACGCTGTTATGGGACCCGCGCACGTGTTCTCGCAATGAGGCTACCCTGAGCCTTCATGTCAAGATCACGCAAGTCATAACGCGCGTGTTGAACAGTAAGTTACTTTCTGCCTAGTTATCGCAATGCTGACATCCAGTAGCTGTATACAGTGCCGATGGCACACTGGGAGGGGTCTTTCTTCGCAAGGTACGATCAGTCTTGCAAGAAATGACAACCCTCTCGCAGGAGCTCGATGAGGTCTTTACGAATCGCTTCGCAAACTCAGTTGACTCGCTATCTGGGGTTACCACACGCCTGACCCTATCCTGTCATCTTGTAAGCGCCACCCCTATCACAGTGTGTGCCGCTGCTGATAGTCATAGTGCATCATTGTCACAACAAGACCCCTCGTCCTGAGCCTGCTATGGGAGCGCCTCGGTTGCTTTGAGGCAGGTACCGAGTTTCGCACTTTATCCCCGCCCGTGCAAGCATTGCTTCAGGCGTGCATCGACTCCGCGACGAAATCATTGCGGATACTTACCGCATTGCGCGACCAAAACCTCCTAGGTTCGGGCCACCCCAACTCACGTCATATTCCGATACTGACATGGATGTCCAGAAACTTTCCTTCCTTTCGACCTAGAAAACCTCTTTTCCTCCTTCTTTATTCTTTCTGTAATCTCCGCCATCCTTCCCGACACCCTGACCGATCCGAGTTACCGCGACATGGGCTATAGCCTGCTCGACGCGATGATCGAGCGAGGAAACCGCGTGGCGCAGCTTCGCAGATCCGAAGTTGAGCTGCTGGAAGAACTGATAGCTCCCTTAATGCAACGGCAGGGCCGATCCCCCGACATCGGAAATTATGATTCTGCGCGGCCGCACCTGGCCACACCTACCAGCCAAGGTCAGGAGCGACACACGGAGCAAATTGAACCATCAGAGTCAGGGCTGCATGGGGAGATAGGGGGATCAGGGATTCCGCCCCCACATGAGATCTCGGAGCAGGATGACGAAATCGCACTTGATTGGCGGGGATTAGGGCTGTCGTTGGACTGCATGCTGACAGCGGCGGACCAATTGAACACGAATAATTTGGTGCTGGATGCAGAGCGCGAGGGATTGCAGACAGACCTGTGGTTGTGGGAGAGTTGAGCTATCATGGGCGAGGAGTTGCCGGAGAAAGAGAAAGAGAAAGATGACTACCGGTGTAGAAGTCCGGATGATGAGTCCACGAACCTTATGCATGTGGCGTACTTTCGGGTCTTGAGTTTGGTACCTGATTTTGCAGATAGTTACTAGATAGATAGTAGTTGTACCTGCATGCCAGCAAATACAAAAGTCTAGCCAATCAGCATTCCCTCTTCAACTATACCACCACACCGTCCTCATTCCTGGAGCCCCTACCGAAGCCTAGGGAGGAACGCGATCAAACAGCCAACATAAGGCTTTGGCCCCTGTTCTATGATACTACCGAATCCCTCCGATAGCATCATTTTGATCTCAACACAATAATACCGAACAGAACACGATACTGTGTAGGCCCCACAGTATCAAAGCAAATACCCAACAGTGGGAGAGGAATTGGCTCGGCACATGAAGTGACATGTCCACTCGATGTACCGAATCGGTAGATAGTCTAGAAACTCCCCCTCGGAGCGAGCCGCTATCTTACATGCAAGCGGGCGTCCGACTGAGTGGGTAGTGAACCAAATCGGAAAACAATAAATTGTAGATGGGAAATCACCATGTAAAGATCGATTCCGTAATACTCCGTCTCTTATCCCAGGTAGGAGGCAAATAATAGCTCTGAGCTATCCGGATGATACTTTTCGAAATATTCGCCCAGTGTTTGTTTGTCTGGTTCCGCGGACAGGTCGGATCCGTGGTATGTGGCAAATTAGCCACACCCACATCCACATATTCCGGTGTACTTTGTAGACTAGATGTTGTGCTGTACAGAGAGGGTGTGTAGTGCCAATGGATACAAGAGAAATTATCAGTCAATCATTTTGATCAGAATCTTGGATACGGAGTAATCTATGGAGTACATGGAGCGTGATCTAGAAGTGTGTGGAAAGGGACAAACATGACTCCCTCGGTAAAACACTAAACAATAAACAGGTTACTAGTTTTGGGTCCACCCCGAGAATGCCGCTGAGTAATGCCCTCCCTATGTTAACTGACTAGTTAACTTATACACAAGTAAAATCTCCTCAAAGCCTCGCCCTTGAGTAACTAGCCCTGAACAGTCCTACGACCGGCGTCCATCCGTGTCGACTTGCGTATGCAAAATCACCGCCAAGCAGACTATTTAACAACCATACGTAGGCGTCCTGTTCCTGAACGGGAGATGTCCGTCTGTCAACTACGACGGAAGCGCATCCATGGGCCAAGCCACGGCAAGAAATAAGGTAAATCAAACGAACCGTGGAAGTCGTCAGCTACGATGGGATGATGCCAAAGAAACTGAATCGAGGGGAAAGAGGCTGGATGGGACTATTATTAACTTTTTCTCTTCTTTTGTGGTTGGGTTTTTTGTGGTGGTGGCCGAAGGCATACGTAAGTGATGCCCCACTTTGAGGATGAGGCGCCAGCCAGTGGCGTCTATTGCTGCTAAACTGGTGGTTTTGCTTAGGAGAAATGGCTGTTTTTACGGAGTATTGTGGATTTAATTTCTGATAATCGGGTTTTCCTTCTTCTTGTTATTGAAAGGAGTTATAAAAATGCTGCCTGAGGTAGATGGGACAAACCTTCACACTCTCGATCGACAGTCTCTCGGTCGGACCACCCAGTAGTCTAGTACTGAGATAACACACGTGGAGGGGAGGGATCGATCAATATTCTGGACAGAGAGAGAAAGGAGTTGCGCTGCTAAGCCAACGCTAGTCGATGCTTAACTCCGCCCGGCGCCAATTCTTGCGTCTTCATCACTCCACTCCCTGGCGGTTTTATTTCTCTGCCTAGCCTACTAAGACTCTTGACGACGTTGCTCGGATCCCGGCATCCAGTCAGACACTCCCTCTCTATCAATTGAATTTTTTGGAGGCAATTTTCTTTTCTTTCTTTGCTCTTCCATCTCGCTTGTCACATTTGTGATCTTCTGAATGATGTCCAGCCGTAGCTAGTATCTCTCCAATGCTTTCGTAGTACACAATCGGTGCTCTGACCCACATCCTAGAACCACCATCGTGGCGTCTAGAATTAAACTTCCCCAAATACACAACAAAAGGTACCGGAATGCTGCCATTCGTCCGAGCAACCATCCACCAGACCACATGGCGCCCTCCCAGCTGACGGTCCGGTCTCCCAGTCTGGCTGCCAGACCGCTGCAGTTTCTTTGCTGCACCACGGGTGGACGACGCAAGGGGGCCGGATTACGTGGGGAGCAGAGGGAGAGGATTGGGTGGAGGGATGAAATGGCATGCCACAGCCGTGCCTGGATGGTGGAGGCCCCCATCAACAAAATAAGAAAAAAATAGGCAAAAAAACAATAACAACATTGGCTGGCGGAATCTACAAAAAGCCCCATCCACCAACGGAGTCCATCGCGCCGCATTCGACGCATCCTCGTTCGCTCGCCATGGCTGTCCTGCGTTTCAGACCATCGTCGCCCTCCGTTTCACTGCCCTAAACGGGGCTATCGACACTTCGGCTTTCCTCTCCTTTAGTTGGCTCCAGTCCAGGCGCACAGGTGCTGGCACTAGTCCAGTACACTCGTCAATTTTCCCACCATGGCGGCGCCTGCCTTGGCCCAATGCTGACGATTCCTTTTGCGCTGCCTGTCTCCACTTCCTCTTGATCGAGGCCACCATCAAACCCACCATCTCCCCAGAAGAGAGAAAAGACAGTCAGCCTAGAACGGGGGGGCCGATTAGGGCGCAGTCCGTCTATATACCTACCCAAGTCGCCCCGGTTCTTTGGCAGCCCCTCCCCGTTTTTGTCCTGTTCATAGCACACTCCTTATTATCGTTGCTTTGCAAGATTTCAGTCACTCCTTTTTTGGACCCTGGTTATAGCGGTGTTGAAGACAAACACACCGTATAAACCCATCAACCTCCTTCACTTCGGGAAATCCACCACTCCTCCCCCTTCATCCTGCGGATACAGACTTCACTGGTTGACTCACTGGTCTGAACATAACCATTCTCCACCATGCAGTGGAAGTCACTCCTTTTGTGCGCTGCCATCGCCGAATCGGCCCTGGCTCGCACCCACGGCCACCAGCGCCGTCAACACGGTCACGGCCACGCCCAGGAGGCTCATGTGGCCGCCCGTGACGTCGAAGTCGAAGTGCACACCGTCGTCAACATCGAGCACGTCACCCTAACCACCACCGTCTACGGCCAGCCCACTGAGGCTGCCGAGGCCACCACCAGCACCACTGCCGAGGCAGCAGCCACCACCGATGCCGGAGCCTTTGTGGAAATCGACTTGGACGAGGATCTCGCCATCAGCGCCAGCCTGGGTCTCTCCCTCTCCCTGGGCCTGGGCCTGGGCGATGACCACACCAGCACCACCACCCACACCAGCACTTCCACCAACACCAAGACCCACACCGCCGCCTCCCAGACAGCTGCTAGCACCACCGCTGCCGCCACCAGCACCGGCAGCTCAGCCAGCGAGGCCTGGACCGCGACTCCCACCAATGGAGTCTACTCGACCGCCGGATTCGGCGAGCGCACCAACAGCAGCAGCAGCGGCGTCACCTACAGCGGCAACGTGGGCAACCCCTGGGGCAGCAACATCCAGGAGGTGAGCGCCAGCGACGCCTGGCAATACAAGTACGTCATCCGCATGGAGGGCAGCAACACCAAGGACTGGTTCGTCAGCTTCTGGAACAAGATCGGACCGGATGGAAAGATGGACGGATGGTACGGACACTCCGCGTTGAACTTCACCCTCGCCGCGGGCGAGACCAAGTACGTTGCTTTCGACGAGAACAGCCAGGGTGGATGGGGCGCCGCCGAGGGCGACAGTCTCCCTACTGATGACTATGGCGGTTACTCCTGCACATGGGGTGAGTTCGACTTTGGCGATACCGACAACAGCGGCTGGTCTGGTTGGGATGTGTCTGCTATTCAGGCTCAGAATGCCGACCAGACGGTCCAGGGTATGCGTATTTGCCAGTACTCGGATAAGCAGTGCTCGTATATCACGACTGATGCCGAGACGGTGGTGAATGCGTACACTGCCTCTGAGGCGTCGGTGGATGGTATTGGTGGAACTGTGTCGTCGGGTGCGGTGCGCTTGACGGTTGAGGTGGATTATAGCTAGATGTTTGATTTAGTTGTCGATGTGGATGTGGATGTAGATACCTCTTGACTTTCTTGTCTGTTTGTTTTGTTTATGTTGATGCTGTTGTATGTACACCGGATCGTGGATTCGCGGAAATATACATAGTTTTACCGATTAACTATATATGGTATCATTATTGAGTGTTGAGTACAGGTAGTCAAGTTGAGTAGAGTATTAGAACAGTCGAGAGATCGCGGGTATCATTAGTCTAAATTACGTTGTGATTTCGATCATCGGGATGTCTCACATTGAAACCGGGGATTGGGGACGCTGATCCGATCGCGGTGGAGTGGAGCAACGGTCTACTAGAGATCCTGTCTGGATGCGAGGAGAGAACTGTTTGCTGATCGAGGATCGGCCGGCGGTGAAACTGCTGCAGGCGATGCTCGGAAGGCTCGGATCGCTGCCGCTGTGCCGCAGGATTCATGACTGCAGGTTGGCGTCCACGGTTAAACGCCTCTCAAGGGATTTATTGTTATAGAGCCAGTTGGTGTGCTTATTGACGTGGTCGTGCTGCGAAGTATTTGGTGGGTAGTAATAAAATACTTACTATTGAGCACTGCATCATACTCTACTACGAGGAAACTGGACGACTTGCACCGCCTGTGCTGTGGAACTAAACGGCTGCTCACAATATATACTTACCGCCGACATTCACCACACAGGCATTCTAGTACTCCATCTTGATCATGGTAGAATTGAAAAAGATAGTATGTTTCATATGAGGGATCCATAGTAAGTTGAAATTGAATTAGAACACTTTAAGTAGTACATACACAAGCCAAGCCTTTCTTATTTCGTGAATGATAGTGTTGGACTGTCGCTTCATGATCGTTGTCATCGATGGGTAGTGAATCAGCCTGTTGTTCCTCTTGCTAAACGCAAGACTGGCTTATTTAATGAGTTTAGTTGGTCTCCTTCAACAACTGGTCCCATAGCTCAGTTGGTTAGAGCGTGACGCTAATAACGTCAAAGTCGAGGGTTCGAGCCCCTCTGGGACCATCTTTTTTGTCTCTTTGGTTTTTTAACCTATTGTTTTCCCGCCCCACAGAGATAAGAAGCGCGCACCTACTCAGACCACCAACTAGCCTTGAAAATGCTAGAACCAGGATGCACACGTCTACGCAAGTCTGGATAACGATCGGTTGGACAACATAATCCCGATGCATTTCCACCGGGGCATTCATCATAGTGAGACTGTTACTGTACAACGAATGACATGTTTGGGAGCACAGCAGTCTCATCGATCAATCACATCAAAACCTTCCACCATCCCCTTGTCTACCAGCACTTCACCATCCCTAAAAGATCATACTCATAGAGCGTAGACTGCATTTCCAAGTCTGCTCAAGTCGAACCACATAGACAATAGTCTCGTGGCCTCGAGGCCGTTCCAGGCCAGCCGATCATATAAAGGCCCTGCTGCTCGGTACGGGAGCCCGTCTATGTGGGAGCTGCCCCTGCCACACGGAGTCGGCGGAAAATAGCGATCATGGCTCAAGTGCCGCCGTCCCGAGTGGCAAGAGGAGCTTCCTCGTAGCAGGGATCCGGTACCGATGCAGACGGGCCTTTGTACGCCCTACTGGTAAGCAACTAGCTTCCAGATCACGTCACTTTGCATAGGTAGTTCACGCAAAGTCATGGAGCTCAAGCAGGCCAGTCAAGGCCCAAGGTAGCCAGGACAGGTCGCACGGACTCAACAGAGCCATCGCTGTCCATGAAGACAGCTCCGATAATAGCTTCAACGGCGCTAGCCATGACTTTGTCCGCGACCATTCCGGCCTGGGCTGGATTGACAATGACAAGTTTGTCCAGGCCCAGGTTACGTCCAGCCTGGGCGATGTATGTGTTGCCGGCCTTCGTTGAGAGGATACTGTTCGTGAATTCTGCCATAAGGGATGAGAATGTGATTCTGGTTAAATGGAATAATATCTACCTCTGCCCTTTCGGGCTTCGTATCCGTCCAACGCCAGAATCATTCTGAGAACGGCATCCCCAACGAGAGCAAGTTGCTTGTGACCATCCGTGCGATTGATCAATCCGGGCATGTGAACCCCAGCAGCGACTAGTGCTTCCATCGCACGATTCGGGTCATTGAAGATGTACCCGATAAGGCTTTGCAGGGTCTGGGCCCTCTCCGCAGGAGCAGGAAATGAAGGCATTGTGTCGTCGTAGAGTTGCTTGGTGTGGTTATAACGAGTATCAGAGCGGTCAAAGCGAGTATATAAGAAAAGAGGTCTGTAGGAGAGAACAGGTTGGTAAGGGATTGGGTGGGGAGGGACAATCAGATGCGAGAAGGATGGCCCTTTTAACCCCTTCCCTGGGGTTGGGGAGGGGTTCATCATGTGATGTTGCTGCATGTGCTGCGCCAACTATCTAGCCTTGCATTCGTTGGTCAGCTTGCCTTGCGTATCCTTGACCCTTCAATACTAACGGATTAGCTATCATCCACAGGATACAGTACATACTTCTCTTATCTTTCGGCCGCTTCACCTGTCAACATAATAGATCTTTATTTACATTATGAGAGTACTTTCGGCCGGATTTCATGCTCAAAATTTGAGACTTATTTTGAACGCTGTTTTAAGCTGGAAACTGTAACCCCGCAAGTTAAGTGTCTCAGCCTCGCGGGTCACCCCATCGATCCCGCAAAGGCTGAATTGAGGTTGCGAGCAGCACCCCCACCCGAATAGTCTGTCTTGGAGCTTGGATTCTGGCCCAATCAAACCCTAGACCAACAACACTGTGAACGGCTGTGCACTAACTATTGGCGGCTAGAGCCGGTGACAATGAATTACGACTGTGGCTCCCAGATTGCATCAGCTAGGGATTCACTTGTTGAAAACTATAGCGAAATCTCAGCTGTCCTTTGATTTTGGCTCAACGGTTGGAAGTATTTGGCAGGGTTGAACTTATTGCTGTTGCTGCTATGTGACAAGGAAAGCTCATCTATATTTATGGGTATCGCAAGGCTTTCTCTACACCCATGGTGTTATCGCCTACTAGGCAGCCTTGCTAGTCCTAGCACCTAAGGGTCAGTGCACCACAACACCTGTGGCTTTTGGGGACAGAGCATTGTTGAGTATAACCCCGCAATCATACCCTTGCATAAAACCCACCAATAGCATAAGCTGCCTTGATACAGAGTATACTGGGCGCTTCTCCGATGGAGCCACATCATGCGCCACGCCGGCTCCTCCTAGTTCATCTGCTCAGCCACTTATGCAGGGCTGCCTGAGTGACTCATTGAGGTTGTCTCAAGGGTATCAAAGTAAAAGCTGAGCTCGGAGGCTTTTAGCAGCAGCGAAGGTAATTACTGTGTATTGATATGAGGTCAGTGACTTTCATTTAGGCATAGGGACGCCATAATTGAAGCGATAACTAGCAGGAGTGAGAAAGAGGAGTATATGGAGAGGGAACTGGTCACAAGAGTTGAGAAATAACTAGAATAAGAGGACAGTGATATGCTTTTTCCTAATAACCACTGCGCCGCTACCCACCCAAAACATGTGCACACTGACCAACAAAATCAACTAGCGCAGATACGGAAATGCCAGATACCCATCACCACCCTTCTGACAAAGGTTGAAACAATATGACAGTAGACCACACATTAAGTAGAGGGCACGTAGAAACCGCAACACCCTCTTAAAGGGCTCAATTCAGATCCTCATAATCCAATCAAAGATGGACACCCCCTTGATCTACTCCTTGACTGCATCTTTATTTGTGGATAGCGATGAAGATATGAGCCTACGGAAAAGCCCGCGTTTTGGTTTCGGAGATTGCTCGTTGCATTGGAGTGTCGAAGCGTCGGAAAACGTACTCTCCGAGTCACCCTTTGGTTGGTTTTTCGCCTCATCTTTAGCAAGTTCGTCGATGAATGTGGGCATGTCACGCGTGCCAGAAGGGTTCATGCGCATGGTCGGAGCTCGAGATGTAGGAGACATGGTGACTGGATAATGTGGTTTGGATGATGACTCTAAGATCAAGTTCCCCTTCGTACTAGCTGGAGAATGAGATCGTAGGAGATATGGAAGGCGTCCTGTTAAAGCAATGCAGGACACAAAGAACAATTGCACGAGATAAAGTAGTTTTTATATTCTGAATGTGGATGATTCAATTTCAAGTTCCTCTTTGTACGAGGTGGAGAGTGAGGTTGTAGTAAGAGTCTGAGAAGCTTGTAATGAAGCAATGCTGGATGAAAAGGACAGTTACCGGAGAGGAAGTGGCCTATATATACTCCGTATGTGGCTGATATACTAAAGCGAGGTATAGAATGCTTCAAGGCAACAATATTGGCCTTCCTAAGGCAGTGACATTCCCGTAGACAAGCATGTGATGGGGTAGACAGCTAAAATCTCACGGGCTTGGCGTGAACACAAGTGCCCATTTTTCCGTTCTAGAATGCCATGACGCTGAGGGCTGTGGTGTTCAGCCTCACGGAAAAAAATATCTTAGCAACATCTTGTTCATGCCTTCGGCGCAGGTTTTCAGAGAATGGGAAGAGCGGGATTCAGACTTTGCCGTATATCGAGAGAGGACCCCCATATTATAGCTAAGAGCTGTTAACCATATCATATCTAGGCCCTAACATCTGCGTACATCTCACATAACGCAGCATGAATATCTCGCATCGAAGTCTACCCCAAAGTTCTGGAGCTTGGCAAGTGGTCTGGACACCTGGGTATTTGTGAATTGAATGACGACATAGACACTTTAGCCGACAGACTATATCCTAGACGTGAGTCAGGGGGCTCATTGTTAATTTAATCTTATGCGTGATGTAGTCTACTAGTGCCTAGGCCACAGCCAGTAAGCGATATCATTGGCTATAGCTGACCGCAGGCTTCGAATGTCTTCAAACCGCCGACAACAGTATACAACAACCGCACATTGCAAGTAAGGTGTATTTCACATAATATATAGATTATGAAAGTACTTCTATTCAATGCATTAATTGTTTACATTTCTACATGAAACCATATTTCAGTATTCGAATCAAACGACAAGTAAGGTCATGCCTACGAGACGCAGGTAACAATGGGTTAGATGCATTGCGTCATACCTAAGTTGCATAAAGTGAAAAAGCTGAAACAATCATAACGTGACTCTCAGAGCAGCCGTTCAACGCCAAAATCTATCCTATGCATGATTTGGCAGCCTAAGTGGCTGTGGAAGAATAATGCACACAGCGGCTAATCAGCATCCAAGATTTACTAAAACGGCTTTAGCTCGCGCTACCTTATCTTTCCAATCAACAACCACTCATCTTGTGGCATTTTAGACGGCATGGCCAATGGGACACATCGGATTTCTTCTCATAGTCACATGGCCAACGACGTGGCAACTACTTACCGTGACTCACAACAGACGTGTTTGCCTGATTGACGTGAGTAAGCTGCTGGGAGCTAGATTGAGGTGTCCAGGGGCATTCCAGACTTTGCCTGCATTTGTTTTCGACCGGACAATCGGACCTCTTCTAACTCAGCACTCCCTGTACGCAGTGCACCGCCAAATTAATAGCTCTTTCAGAGTCGAAAGTAAAAAAGGGGTTATTGCCATGATTCGCAGCGAAAAATAAATCCAGTCTCTCGGCTACTTTGACCTTAGTTCATCCGTTCTCATTGATCGAACAACATTTTTTTGCGTACTATTTCTGGAGAACGGAACTTACTCTGGTATATTCACCCACCAATAGAAGGGAATACGACATGAACTTGGCATTCGAGCTTAGCACTCGGAGATATCCGAGCTGTTCGGTGTTAAAGGTTCCGGTGGCGCAATAGTTTTAAGTCTGGACCGGTTTCTTGGATGCTAGTAAATGTCCCCGCCAATCAGACCCACCGGGTACCTGATCCCAATATCTAAAAGGTAAAAAGTGCCGATCAGATTCGTGAGTTCCTTGATGGCCATGCGCTAATGTCGATTTAATCTCCGCGATACGAGTGGCAAAGTGGTGTTATGTGGTTGAGATTTTCAACTAGCGTGGATCATAAGTGGGGAGGTACTGACTCGAGATGTAGAGAGGGATTGGGTCTGCTGTCTACGCAGTCTGCTGAAGGCATGTTGACTTATCTCTACTTAGGACAATTAAAAATGCATCGAGCAGCGGATGTAATATTATAAGCGGTAAAGTATGACTAGTGTTTCTCTATGGTATAATGACAACCTTCTACATTTCCTATAACGTTACCCCTGTATGCCCACAACACGACCACAATTTCCGTTGGACATCTGGATGGTAGCCGAAGTGTCATGAATAGACGCCTTGGCGTAAACAGAAGACTGTGAGCAGGTTGTTGTGTGGATTAGATAGCAGTATCTGATGGAGGAAGAAACCGCGTTGTAGTAGGACATGGCGCAGGTGGAGCTCTCCATGCAGCTGACACAGCAATCATATGCAGAACTGGTGTCGCCAACAGTCAAGCTTTCACCGGGAACGTTGGTGAAGGCGATCAGGTACATGTATTGGCCCGCAAAAGAGCCAAATTCAGAGGAGAGAGGGTCGCCAGCAATATTGCTAGACCCGCACGCCTCGTAGAAGGTGGTGGTAGCCACGGCGGCCACGGCGCTGGTAGTCGACGTCACGGTGGTTGTTTCGGCAGCCGCGGATGTGGTTTCAGTGATGGTGGACGTGGTACTGTAGCTCAGCGTGGTTGAGACATCGGAAGGGACCACGACTGAAGTACTGGTGATAGTGTTTGTCACAGTCACGGTGGATGTAGGAGTGACTGCGGTAGCAGTCGCGGGAGATTGGGCTACTGTGGAGACGGTTGTGGTCTTGACAATAATCTTCTGGTGGCACTCGACCTCTTGAGGATATTGATAGTCGTCCAGCCAGGAGGAACAATCGTCCTGCTCGATCAAGGACCGCTTGGCAGCAGTAGCTGTAGGCAGTGTTTCCACAATGGGAGAAAAACCTGAAGAGCTGGCAATTGTGGACGTGCTCGTGCTCGTGGTGGAGATGGTGACAGATACAATGGCAGTGACAGCAGCAGGAGTGATAGTCACCGTTGCAGTGTCATACTCAGTTGAGGTTGTCGAGAAAGTATCAGTGACCGTGTCAGCTGTGGAAATGGCTGTAGTCGTCTCATAGTCGGTGATGGTCACAGTCGAGGCGTCAGGGGTCACAGTGACAGTGTCTTGTGTCGTCGAAAAGACAACAACCGGTGTCGGGTCATGGATGGTGCGCGTGATGGTAGTGGTAGGAACAAGTGCCAATGAGTTTGTTCCCAGCTGCGTGCGGCAGGACATCGAAGGCACATAGGCCTGACTGCTGGCCACAGGCGAGCTGGCCGCGGGGGTGATGGCTGCGACCCGACCGAGCAGAAAGCCCGCGGCGACAATGAAGCCCTGGATTGACATTTTCACAGGTTGGCAAAATATGAGGTCAATATGTATGGCAATTACTCAAAACACTCGGTAGGTTCGGAGTGTCCTCGCAATAAGTACTCCGTCCCTGAATTCTGGTGGGATTCGGTGTCGGCTATTTTCGCCGTCGTTGATAGACCCGCGATCCAGTGGGCGTCAATAGTCCAGCTGAATACGAAGGCTGAGACAGGAACCAGAAAATAGCTCCGTCGCGTGTGCATTCCTTCTTTGTCTTCTCTTTGCCGAATCTCCGACAGAGAGGAAATCCTTGAGTGATCTATATACAGTGACCCGCCTCTTGCAAGAGAG